GGGGGGGGGGGGGATTAAAAGGGAAATATTGCTGCAGAAGAGGAGGGACATAACGTTTACTTTAAGGTGCCTGCAGATGTATGAGAACATGTGACCCCCCACCTTCTTCTTGCTCAATTTGTTTAGAGAAACAGCTGACCTGCCAGTAAGGAGTTTCCTGGCCACTCACTATTGTCTCCCAAGACATCCAGCACCTGCAGTGCTCCCTTTATCCCTCTCCATAGACACAAATACACAGATGTGCCCAATGAGAACAAGAGCCGCGGATGAAAACACTGTTTTGCTAGCTGAACCGTACATGCGTGGCCATATAAAGTACCTCTCCTGAAAGAGTTAACATGGCCATTTACAGAGGTTTAGCTCGAATTTCACTACTCATAAAATGTTACGCTTGGATTCGATCTGTGCTACGTATGTATCATGTCACAGACGTTTTTGATATCCACAACAGTAAACATTGCTAACAGCCCATTTAAAGGCTTTTCACTTCAAGAACTGGAAGATTTTGCTAAAGGTTACAATCCATCAACTGTTCTCGGTGGTATTTTTCTTGTCGCCTATTCTGAACTCACATTGTGAAGTTATATATAATGAATAAGATGAAATATACAACAGCTGGGCCTTTATGACGACAGGAATAGCCATATGACTAATATAACATAACCTCTGGCTAACATACTGACAGTCATGCAAGTTTGGACTGCTGTCAGGTACATAAAGTTATTTACTGTAGCTTTTGTGCAACTACTTTAGTCAATTCAATTGAGGTAGTTAGAGAAGAGTTTAATCTTTTGCTGTCAAGTGATTGAAATTGTCCATGCATCCCTAGCCTATGGCTAAGTTAGAACAACTCCTATAGCTAATACAGCAATAATAGTGACAGACCAAGATGGCGAGTGCTGGGTTCCATTCATAACAGCAAAGCTTGCCTCTGCTGCTACCAGAGGCCAGAGGGTGCACAACAGTTGGTCTGTGCTGGCCAAAGATAAGACATTGAGAACAATGTATTGACCAGCTAAGGGGCCCTAAGGAACCTTAGCGAGTCAATGTTACCTTTGGTTTTTAATTAATTTTTTTTTTTAATATTTAGTTTAGAGGGAAACTCCAGGAAAAAATATATATTTGCACATTTTCTATGTACCACCACCTTTATTGGTGTGTGTTCCATGTCCCATGATGTGCTGTATTAGTTAAAATGGTTAGTTTCATTCAGCCCCAACAGCACAGCAAGTACCGGATGTTTTTGCACAGAGACTTATAGTCCTCGCTCTCATATAGTGAAGACTATGTGGGTGGCTCCCACTCAACCTCCTCCATTCATAAAATGTCTTGTATTCCTTTCACAGAACACAGGTTTAACCATTTCTTGTATGTTAACTCTTCATGAGTGGTGTAACTGGGAGTGTGTCCTTTGCCAGTGAAAGAGATGCTCCTCTTTCTCATCTCAGAAAGTTGGAATGTATTCTATTGGGCCAGTAATGCACTGTAATCAGAAGAGTACATTTTGCATTTTTCTTTACAAACATTTCTCTAAATGTGAGCAGGTCCTATAGAACACAAGTTTACTTTACATGTAGTAACTATATGCTTTTAAACAAAGTAGACTACTGAAGTGTGAATGGGTCTTCATTATCTCAGTCCAAAGTTTGTGAAGAGAACTGAATAAGGAGCACTATTAGGGAGTCTCAAGAACCAGAGTTGTGAACCACTACTCATGTATGCTGTCAGAACTATTTTATTTAAAAGGTAGAAAGGGCATTTGCTCTGAGCCTACCAGGGCAGGAGGCCAACAATGTAAAATGAAAACTACTTTGGTGAGGCTGGGGAAAAGCTCATTACTCTGCTTTCTTTTGCACAAAGAAACATGTAGAAGTCTGGTTACCTAGGGAAACTAACATCTCCACAAATGGAAGAACATGCCCACAATCACCAATTTGATTCCTCATTTTATTATAATTATCATATGTTGGTCACAGAAGACTACTGTCTCCTAGAATTCACCAGATGGCGGTGATGCAGGTAAAATGTGAATTTGTGGTTCTCTTCGCTATGAAACCATAGTTGAACAGGCAAGGAGCCTTCTTGTTTTAAAATATGGAAGATATTCATTCATTAGGAAGACCCCTTTAGCCGATCACTTTTGTCATATGGATCAAATCCTCCTATTTGAGGGCCTACGAGAAAACATTCCATAAAAGCATATCCACAATTTTCACCAGACGGTCAGTACATACCTGACGTGCCTGTGCTGCTGTCTTTTTGCATCCTCTCCCAAGCGGTTCAAAGATGGCGAGCGGCTCCGGGGGACCTGGGAATAGCTCCCAATAGTTTTTACAGTGCCATTAGGATTATTCTGCATCTGTTGCAGCAACTGTGGTGAGAGGCTGCGGTGTAAAGAGGATGAGGCACCGGACCACTCGGGAATGTTGTTGACGTTGAGGTTGTTATCACTGTTCGAGCGAAGGAGGACTCTGGGTGCTGCCAAAGTGCTCTGTAGCCCCCTTCTCCTGTGTGAGTAGCTGGGCGCTTCCCTGAACGGCACTGAAAAACAAAAAAATATTCAGAGAGACAAAGAAAAAGAGGGACATCATATTAAAATGTAAAGTTGGAGCTTTGGATAGAGTGGATAAGTTAGGTTTTTATAGCCTATATATATTAAGGAGATTTTTTCTCAGTTTCTTTATATTTATTAGGAGAGAAAATGATCATACTCTCCAGCAGGAACAAAGACACAATGAAGGCCAAAAAGAACATATGCTATGTGCCTACCAGGGCAGGAGGACAGTAATGCATAGGGGTTAGAATCTTTCTAAATTTCAGGTGCCGTCTTTGCTACTGTTTTGGGGTGATTCTTCTCGTTTCCTCTGTGGTCACATGTAGAACACGCTGAACTGGCGTGTTTTGAACTATAAGCTATAAATTAAAGACAAAGATGCAAATCCAGAAGATGAGTAAATGAGCTACTACTGTCTTTTGATTGGCTTTCAGGTCACTTAATACTCAGCTACCAGATCAGATTCTTTGCCTTAAAGGAGAACTATGAGATGAGTGATTTCCAGTAACCTCATAGTTCTAGCCGACCTGTGACAATGAGACTGTCACAGGTCGGCTCAGTAGAGCGGGAGGTGAGCGAACCCATCCCAGGTTCCCTCACCTCTCGATCCTGTCACGGCTCTCTGCCGTGACAGGGGGAGGGGCTGGATTCCCCTCTCCCTGCTCCGATCTGCCAGCGCTGACTGGCGGAACGGACGAGGGAGGGGGCGGGTACAGCTGGCTCTGCCTCTAGATAGGCAGAGCCAGCTGTCACTCACGCAGCTGGGTGGATCCCGTCATCTACGTCGGGATCCGCTCCAGCTGCGGCGTCTCAGTATACCGCGAGCTGTATCTTGCGGTATACTGAGCTTAGGGTAACGGGAGGATGCTAGTTTGTGTCCTCCCGTTACCCTAAGGAGAACTATGGGGAAAAACACTGACCCCATAGTTCTCCTTTAAGGTGGCCATACACTCTTCGATTTTCGTTCTGAAAATCTTCCATGAATGGTCTTTCGAACGATAATCGAACAGTTGATGGAACAGCAACAATTTTCTTTTTTACTGTAATCCCGCTCAAATTTTCTTGAAGGGTGAGGCTGGAAAACTTTTTCGAATTAAACAAAAATTTATGAATTAGTGGTGTTTTCGTCCGAAAAGAATCGCAGCAAGAAAACTGCACAACGAAAATTTGTTTTGTCGATTGTCAAAATTCGGTAAGTTAGTACTGCTAATGAACGATTATCAAAGTCAACATTGGTCTGTGCTTGATGGGCTAGGGTGCTTGGCAGCAACAAAAATTTCCAATCGAAAATCTATAAGTGTATGGCCAACTTAAGATTAGACTAAAACGAAATACACTAAGCATGTTCTACATGTGTCCAAGTCGAGTTTCACATATAAGATAGAGAGGTTTGCTCATACAAAAAGTCATTACAACTGCCATTTACAAAATGGGCAGGTTTATAGGTCAAAAATAGGTGGACACCCCTCCAAATTATTAATTTCAGGTGTTTTCAGTGAAGGTTACTGTAAATGCTGCATCATACAATACAGAAACATGTTAGGCAATTGTTCACCTCTAGCCTTGTGGCAACAGTTTGAGGATAGCCGTTTTCTTTTACAACATGACTAAAGTAAGCTTAATAGAGACATGGTTTCACATGTTTAGTGTGGAGGAATTCAGGTGGGCTGCACAGAGTTCTGACTTCAACCTTATTAAACACCTTTGAATGATGGTCTTAAATGAATTGGAACGCCGACAGCCAGCTATATGTTCTCATCCAACATTAGCAACTGACTGCACAAATACTCTTTTGCCCGAAATATATGGGCAAAAAATTCCACACACTTAAAAATCTTGTGGAAAACCTTTGCAAAGGGTGGAGGCTGATAAAGAAGGAGCCATATTAGTGATCCATGGTTTTGGAATAGGATGTCAGGTGTCAACTTATTGGCCATAAAATGTGTGTATGTGCATACAATAATTTATAAACTACACACACATTTGTTTCTCCCATACCTGCATCCCATACTACATATAGGTTTTTCAAAAACAACGGATGCACTCTAATGAGTACCATTCACATGTAGCCCTTCATAATTTGTGTGTATTGAAGTAACAAGCTGGAAACTCCTTCATGCTCCATCTTTCATTTAGTGGAACAGATTCTCTCTCCAAAGCTACACAGTACAGTCTCCAAAAGCCAGGGAGAGTATAAAGGCAAACAAACATGCTAAACACTAAAAGCCATGCCAAAGCTGAAAGAGCTGCTAAGTGTTTCTGTGACTGATAAACACACTGGAGATAGGGTGGAGAAAGGACGAGATCTGTAGACCAGTTACCAGTAGCACAAAGTTATATATAGAATCACACACACAGCCTCTGCGTGCAGCTTGCCAATGACAGCTCAGTACGGGTAACACTCATTACAAATACACAAATGTGCTGTACAGTTTTCTTATGATTTTTACACAGAACAAAGACACCCACCATGGCAGAGTAGGTCTTGTGAGATGGTCATATTTCAAAGATAAGGAATTAGTATATCCTAGGAGTTTGTAATCAATGTGGATAAGCAGTACTGCATTATAGTCTTTTTAACATTTCATAGTCTATGGATAGGCAGTATACAAGCATATCAATTTCTGGTAAATCCTAGGTCAAGAGTGCTATTATAACCTAGAGAGCCTAAGGGAATAAAGCATATGACTGAGTATGCACAATCTTCAAACACCTTCATGGAAAGACAGTGCATCAAACCCTTTTCAGCCTTTTGTTGGCTGCCGTTGTTGCACTGAAATCCCAAGCAGCATTGTCAGCCCTGCTTGAGTTCTCCCCAGTTGGATTACCAAAAACTGCCTATTCCCACCCCTCTCTTCCCCTTTCCACATGTATACATTGATTTATTTACCATCAAAACAATGGAACTGCCTTGACTATCAAGAGCCTGCCACCAATTTTTTTATTTTGTTTCATACATTTTATTAGATTTTTCCAATACAATCAACAAGCAGCATACTTTAAGATCAAATTGTTGCGCACAGGCATAAGGCAGATTCATGCATTGAAATGTCATGTGATGTCTGCCCCCAACTTTTTATAGGGAAAGAGCGCTTGGGTGATGTAGTTCGGGGGGAGGGGGGCGTGGTTCCAAAGTCAACAATACCAACCCTAAGGCACCTCCCAGAAGCTGCCCATGCAAGAATTTTACAAGCTTAGTGATGACGTCACTTGGTGTAATAAAAGCTGTTTCTTGCTACAGGAATAAGGTCAAATAAAGAAAATAATGCCGGGACATGCTCTAGAGTGGGAGAAGGAGGTTTGAGGGTTAATTTGGGTCATGTCTGGAGATCATCTTTAAAAGGATAAACTAATCTACCAGCTAAATTTATATCTCATGGCAAATCAAGTTTCTAATTAGAACGATTACCTTTTCTCCTTATGTCACCTGAAAGCTGTAATGGAATCCTCAGTACACATCCTCTTCCTAATCTCCGGTCTGTATGCTTGTTTCTTGCACAGGAATGGGTTCCCTACAGTTCTATACTACATCACATGCAGCCTCGTGTATGAAAATGTATGACCCAATGCAGACTTGAATTATGCTGCTGCACATGGGGACATATAAATGACATTTTATATGTAATGTCATTGGTGTTAGTAATACTGTAGACCTCTCCTATGGCAGTCCCTGGCTTCAGCAATGAAGCTCGAGTCCTAAAAGCAAATGTAGTGTCAGCTGGTATTTCATTAATGTGCTTAACCCAACCCCATTTCTGCTCAGCAAATGCAAAAAGCTGCAGCATTGCTTCATACATGTGGGAAAACATATGGGTAATTGTTCTGCTTACAGAAAGTAGAAACAATAGTTCATAAAGGGGGCAAGCATCTGTCTAAGAATATAGAAAAACATATTTTTGAATGCAAGCATACAAGGAATGTGCACTTCTAAATGGATGCCAGGGAGGTCTTCTTTCAGAAACAGAACACCTGTCCTGTATAGATGGAGAGATGCAGTATATTTTCAGGACTGCAAGCTGATGGCCTCAGCATAGTCAATAATGTGGCTCCACACTGCAGTTATTTTTTTTAAAGGGTTATCTATGGTCTAAAAATAAAAATAAACATGCATATCAAAAAGTGAGATTGCACACTGGGAATCCAGTGAGTTGATGAAAGTATTGGGCAGATGGAAAGCAGCACTCACTACATAAAATGGATTTTTTCAAGTAAGCTTTGTTTGTATGATTAGAAACAACTCTAGTATGTATTCATATTACTAGGGATGCACCAATACCGATACCAGTATCGGTGACGATACCAAGTATTTGGGCGAGCCTAACCCGATACCTGAACTTCCGGTATCAGGAAGCCGGGCAGAGAGTCATTACACGCTGCCCAAGATCCTTATTGGCTGGGAAGCTGGCTCCATGCTCCCTCATCACTTGTAATGACTCGCTGCCCGGGGTCCTGATTGGTTGGAAAGATGGTCTGGTGATGAGGGAGCATAGAGCCGGCTTCCTGGCCAATCAGGAAGCCGGGCGCTGTGTAATGACTCGCCACCTGGTTCCCTGATTGGTCGAGAAGCTGGCCGATCAGGAAGCTAGGCGGCGAGTCATTACCCACCCCCTGGCTTCCTGATTGGCCAGAAAGCCGTCTCCAAGCTTCCTCATCACCTGGTGACGAGGAAGCATGGAGACGGCTTTTCTGCTAATTGGGAAGCCGGGTGGTGAGTCTTTACACGCCGCCTGGCTTCCTTAATGGGACTTCTGGTATCAGTATCGGCGAGTACCAAAAAAATAATAATATTGTACTCTATACCAAAAAACGGTATTGGTGCATCCCTACCAACTACAATGCTGAAGTTATACCAGGATAGGATATGCTGAGACCTTACAACTCTTTTAAATAAGGGTAACTCGATCATTAGCACAAAAGTGTTTAACTTGCTAGTTCCTAAGCCCTATATCAATGCATTTCTGGAAAGCTTTACATGTTCCATGTGACA